CCTATATGAAGTTAGTTAAGGAAAATTATAAGGTTAATATCAACTTACTCGGTTGAACAAAGTTTCGAGTTATAAGCCTGCGCAAAAATTCCTGATGTATAATAGTTGCTTCATTAATATTACTGAGCTATGAAAGTATAACCTCTTTTTACCAATCAATCATTCCACCAACATCTCCCTCTCTTTTTCGTTGTTAAGGTCATACGAGTTAAAAATTGTTTCATCAATTAACTCAGTACGTTTATTGTGTGGTTCGATGAAAGCCCAAATATTTTAAAGGGAAGAATATATTAAGTACAATGTAAAAGACAGAAGTAACTCAGTAATAATATAATGGTTTGAGGAATTGAAACAAATGCAATAAATGAGAATGATGAGGATAATGAGAACAAAACATATTTATACATAAATATAAGTGGTGTAAAATATCCCCTCTTCTTAGTACAGAAGGCAGCAGCCTTCTGTGGGAGAGGAAAAACCAGATTCCGGCTTATAACGAAATTAGGAAAAGACGACGTAAATGGATAGGACATACATTACAGAAATCACCAAACTGTATCACGAAGCAAGCCCTAACTTGGAATCCTGAAGGGGAAGCGAAAAAGTGGAAGGCCAAAGAACATATTAAGTCGGGAAATAGAAGCAGATATGAAAAGGATGAATAACAACTGGAAAGGATTGCTTAGGACAAGGTTGGATGGTGAGTGCTGGTGGGTGGCCTATGCTCCTCTACGAGGAATAACAGGTGTAATTAAGTATGTCAGTACACATACATAAGAAAACATGACGAATAGATTTTAAAATGACTCTCAAAAAATCTCACTGCTAACATCACTTCAGTAGATGATGGTGAATATATAACATGCATGTATTTGTACGTGCCTAAGTGTGGAGAAATTTCAAAGCGTGAAAGAACCATTGAATGAGAAGCAGGAGAGAAATGTTAATAAGAGATAGTGAGGAGAGGTCATCATCAGTAAAGTTCTTATTGATCAATTGTAATTGTTTTGACTTTTTTCAACAGAAAGTTTTTTGTTCAATAGAACAAACAAGAACGATAACACACACTTTTCTTTCCTGTAATCACTTTTATCATTATTATTATTGCTATTTATATCATTATTACTCCGATACCCATTGCCGGAAATAAAGAAAAAATTCTGAAGTATTCTTTTACTTGTTCTTGAGGCATGCCAACCAATCAACCAAGTAGCAAATCACCTGAACAATAATTTAGTTAGGTTGGTAGGCGAGTAGAAAGTTGGATAAATTTTTAAGTTTGAATGAAAATACAAACACACACACACACACACACTAGAAAAACATATCTCAAGATGCTGGTACTTCATTTAGACATGCTCCCTATTTAATATTAGCCCTTATCCATCAAAATGATAATAATAATTTATTTTATTACATTTAATAACTTCCTCATTTTAGTCTGCATACCGGAACCGTGATGGCTAATTTGTGTCTTAATGAGTAGGTCTGAAAATACTTCTATATTTATATATATATATCCCTCAGTCTTATCTCTAAGATAATTGTCTACACTGTACACAATAATGATCTTCAGTCATTTACGTAAATAATTAATATCTAATCACTTGTTGTTTAATGATCATTCTACTTGATAGGTCAGGCTACAACTTATAATATTTAGAAAAAAGAGGAAGTCGGTAAGTTTTATTGTGTGTGTGGGGGGGGAGGCTGTATGTACTGTTGAATCAGATAAGCATTAATATTTATTATTTTTTTTAAAAAAAAAAAGAAAGAATTTTGAATGAAATGAGTTTTACTGAGGAGAAACAAGACAAACAAAATAAAAATTGTCATTACAATATGGGATGACAGACATTTCAGGTCATGTATCCCATTGAAGTTGAAGTTGAAGTTTACTCTTTGACATTTTCAAGTAGAAGAATGAAGACAAACGGTTTTTTCTTTTTGAGTTGACTGTCATTATCCAGTAATGAATGTAACCTCATTGAGATATACACATATCTTTATGGAGCTGTTCAATAATGAATAACATGTGAATAATTTACATAGTACATTGGAAGATACGAATCAGCAAAAAGAAAAGAAAAAAAAGGAAAACAATAACACCTGAGTATATTATTGACCTAACTCAGTTCTATCAACAATTTATTCATTGGGTGAATTCTAAACTCTACTTAACGTTGTACAAAACATCAAAGGGTGTTCTATGGATAGTATTCCTTTTTCATCTTATTATCAAATTTAAATAGAAAATCAGTGTAATCTCATATTATCCTTTTATAAACCAGGAAGTAGATGATCATTTTTTTATTTCTTTTCTTTTTCTTTTTTTTTCTGTTTTTGCAAAGAAACACGAGATTGTTTTTTTTCTTTCTTCCCAAAATTGTTTAAAACTATATATATATATATATATATCATTGTTACTATTATTGACACGACCTAAAAAAGTAATATTTTCCTACATCTATCTCTATGTGAAAATAGTTAATCTTTTAACCTGAAAAAGAAAATCAGCAATCTTTTACCTTCCTACTATCATAGTGATTATGTTTTAGTTTTTTTTCTTAAAGAAATAAATAAATAAATAGAAAGGTTTAAATTAGGTGTGAAGAGAATTGGGCGGTTAAAACAAAGTATAGTGTAATAATTATAGTCGGAATATTAAATATGACCAGTGACCTATTTATAAAATTTATTCTTATTATTAATATAAACTTGATTAGTACACGTTTTGATAACAGAGTTTATACTTACCTATATGTCAATGATTCTCTTTTTTGTGGTGGTGGTGGTGGTGGTGGTGGTGGTGGTGGGGTAGAAATAAAAATAACATTTGGACATGAACTATTTCTGTAATGGTTTTTATCTTTTCGCTAATAATTGACTAGATGCAGTATGAGAATACGGACAAAGATTGAAGTATGTGATGTTGGAAATAATTTGGCACACCTTGACAATATTAATAATCTATCACTGTTCAACTGCACATAGTAGGAATTCATCTAAAAGCAAACTTATAATAAAAAGTATTTGTTTTTTTGTTCACTGAAACAATACTTAATTACTGACACCTGTTACTCCCAATGGAGCATAGGCTGTCGACCAGCATTCACCAACCCACTCTGTCATCGAACCTCCCTTCCAGTTCTGTTCAGTTTTTGTTCATTTTTCTCATGTCTGTCTCCATTTCTCGGTCTAATGTGTTCTTTGGTCTTCCGCTTCTTCTTTATTTGGCCTTGAGAATTCCATGTGAGGGCTTGCATTGTGACACACAGTTAGGTGCTTTCCTCAATGTGTGTCCTACCCACTTCTAACGCTTCTTTCTGATTTCTTCCTCCGTTGATATCTGGTTTGTTCTCTCCCACAATAGGTTGTTGCTGATAATGTCTGACCAACGGATCCGAAGTATTTTGTGTGGGCAACTGTTAATAGATACTTGTATCTTCTGGATGATGGCTTTCGTAGTTCTCCAGGTTTCTGCCCCATACAGTAGAACTGTTTTGACATTTGTATTGAAAATCCCGACTTTGGTGTTGGTTGACAGACAGTTGTTTTGAGTTCCATATATTCTTCAGTTGTAAATATGCTGCTCTTGCTTTGCCGATCTGCACCTTCACATCTGCATCAGATCCATTGTGTTCATTCATGATGATGCACAGATATGTAGAGGATCTTACATCTTCCAAATCTTCTCCGTTAAGTGTGATTCGATTGGTGCATGCTGTGTTGTATCGGAGAATCTTGCTGTTTACTTTGTGTATGTTGAGACCTACTGCTTCTGAGGCTGCTGCTGCTACACTGATCGTCTTCTCCTGCATTTGTTGTTGCATGTGCGATAGAAGAGTCAGATCATCTGCAAAGTCTAGGTCGTCCAGCCTCATCCTAGATATCCACTGTATCCCATGCACCCTTTCAGATATTAACGTCTTTATGATCCAGTCGATCACCAGGGAAAAGAGAAAAGTAATTCTCTGAAACATGATGAACACAAAATGAATGAAATAATATACACAATGTGGTAAATATAACATCATGGTTACTTAATTAAGTCTTACAAGATAAAATAATACTGTCGAATATAGATGTTTTAGTTTTTTTCTTCTTAAAAAATGATACAATATTGTAAATCTATCAACCAGAAAATATACTGTAGTAACTTGTGTACGCTTAATGATAACACGAAGGAAAAGTATACATATCGTTATGAGGGAGTGATCAACGTAGTTGTGAGAAAGATCACAGTGCTAGATACGTAAATCAATGTTACAATGTTTCATATTCATTGGTGAATAACTCTGAAAAGTAACATTAAACACACTGTTGGGTTTTATACATTTCAATGTTGATAAAATCGGTTTCTATTTAACTATATTCTCATTGTTTTATTAGGATTTAAATAAGTATTGACATAACTAATTGAATAATGTTTTCCAGGTAATTTAAGTGTTTAAATTGGAAGTTTTCTTATGAAGGTGGTCGTTACATTTTAATCTTACTAATACATGTTTAATATCAAATATAATTTCAATGGTTGAGATTATGAGATGTAGTGACCAGTGGAGTTCTACCGAGTTTGTTGTGAGATCGTAAGTCACTGAAGATAATGATGGATGTGTCGCTGAATTTCGTGGATTGGTTGAAGTTAGACCTCAGTGGTCTAGAGATTAAGCGCTCGCGCGCGAGGCCAACAGGTCCTGGGTTCGAATCTCGTGAAGCGGGATTAAGAATGCACAGTGCTGAAAAGTCCCACAATAGGACGAAACGGACGTCCAGTACTTTCAGGTTTTCCATGCTGATCTAGATTCAATTGACTCTTGTTTAAATGAATATCGTATTTGAGCATTATACACAAAATATTCAACCAGAATTTATTCAATTTTATTCACACACTTTTTGTTTCTTTTATATAACATTTGTAGAATAACAATTGGTGTTTTTTTATTTAATTACAATTTGACTTACACAAACATTTCTCAAAGAAAAAAAAAGAAATAGTCATGGTTACAGAGGAAATTAATGAAAATTCAATTGCAGAACGTTTACATCAACCTGTACCTTTAGATTTATCTTATCATTCATCAATTTCAAATGAATCAAATATTTCTAATCAATTATCAATTTCAACAATAACAACACCATTTATTAATAAATATGATAAATCTACTAATATACAATTAAGTAGTTTACAACATACATGTATTAGTATACCAATTAAGACATCACAATTAAATGATAAATTCGATAATCAATTATATTTTCCACAATCATCTATTATAGAACAAGTGAATACATTATATAGATCTAATTTAGAAAAATTACAAATGTTTTATACATTGAAAAGAAGTCAATTAAAATCTATGAATGATTTATATCATTCACCATTAATAACTATACCACCACCTGAACAATTATTAGCATTAACAATGTTACATAATCATAAATCTATTAAATTCACTCCAATAATCAACACGAGTAATAATAATAATAATAATAATATTTCATTGTTACCAAGACAATTAAATCAAACCATTAAAAACGACTTAGTTACTAATTTATCTTCAACTATTCCATCATTATATGATAATCAATTCATCGATTTAAACAATAATAATGATAATAATCAATATTGTAATTCAATTCCATTTGAATTAATATCGATTTATTTAAAAATGTTAGAAAAATCAAAAAATTTTAATGAAATTTACAAAAATGATGGTAGTAACTATTCCTATGAAACTATTTATAAATGGTTATTATCATTACGTAAGAATATTTATACAACAATCGATAAAGATTTAAATAATCCGCCTTTGAATTATCCAATTAAAACAAAACTTTCACAAACAGTAGTTCATGTTGAAAGTGATAATAATAATAATGATAATAATAATAATAATAACGGTATTAAGAATATACCTAAGAAACATAAAACAATAACAAGTGTTTTAGATGTATTACCATCAGATAGTATAGAAGTAGTACAAGGATTATTATCAACATGTGTAAATCATTTTACACCTAAACGTGAACGTTATACATGCCATTTTTGTGGTAAACTATTTCCTAGATCAGCTAATCTTACTAGACATATACGTACACATACTGGTGAACAACCATATAAATGTATACATTGTCCAAGATCATTTAGTATTAGTTCTAATTTACAACGTCATATACGTAATATACATCAAAAAGAAAGACCATTTCACTGTAATGTTTGTTTAAAACGTTTTGGACAACGTGCCAATTTAGAGAGGCATGTTCGAAATCATTTAATCAGTAAATATCATCATCATCATCATCAACAGCAGCATCAATACAAGCCATTATTATCACCTACATGGTCATCATCATAATCATCCTTCATCTTTTCAACAGTGAACACAAATTTTTCCCTAGAATAACGTGATATTATATCAAGTAATTCAAATAGAGTTTATCCTAATGCTGTCCATCAATAAGACAGACATTTCTCTCTATGTATTCTTATTTAAAGCCTTTAATATTAGTGATTTTATAACTTTCTTCTCAAATCAACCCTGATAAAGAATTTTGTTGATCTTGTGTTCATATATACACATACATATATGATAATAGTTACTTGATTTGATGTAATTTATGTTTGTTTGTTTGTTGTTCACATTGATGACCATGATCTTATGATTGGTTTGATCAATCAATTATGTATATCTTGTCTTCTCTTCTTTTTCCGTTGTTGTTGTTGAAAAGTAGTAATAATTGGATGATGTACTCGCTTCCTTTAGTTATCTTACATATAATACACCCTGTGTAGTGTATATCGTCTGTTATCTGTCATATTCATGAATCTATACATGCAAATATATACACATTTATATACAGTTTAATACATATACATATATATAACAAGATAAGGAAAAGACTTCACATTGTTGATGATAAGTTGTTTTTCTCTTTTTAGATAATCCTGTAGTTATTAACAACCAACCAACCAATCAAATCAACAACAACAAACCAACGAACAATCAAACAAAAGTATCTCATATTTATCACATCCTTAAATAATATGGATAAATAAATGACTACCGGAAAACAAAATTTCTTCTTTCTTTCTTTCGTTCGGCAACCATCATTTGCATAGCGTTCATTCTGTTGACATGATGATGATGATGATGATAATGATGGGGTAACTGTGTCTATGTGCGTATGTTTATATCCTCAGTAGGCGTTCATTAGTAATTGTGATTATCTGATTTCTCTTATATCCTTATGATTGTTGTTGTTGTTGTTGTTTTTAAGTCTTGTTAGGTCTTTTAAGTTGAAAAAAATTTGCAAAAATTTAATTAAATTTTCAGAGAGGTTATCAATTCACATGTCAGTTGAATGGGTTTCCTGTTAAAGAAAAAAAAAAGATTCTAGAAAAATATAAATTATTTCAATGAAGAATGAATCAATTGTTAGTGTATTGAATATATTAAAATATAGTTTCTTAGAAATAAGCGGCTTTAATGAAGTTACATTATTTGAACTGAATGGTTTAATTATGAAGATAATGGAAACTATTTGATGTAGTTTATAATGGAATATGCATGGTTTAGTTAAATCCCAAATTGATTGAATTCAGGAATGATCTTTGTTAAACCTGAAGTTTGAGGATGAAATCCCGTGAAGTTTTACGAGTACCAATTCTATTGATTGACTTCATACTAAAATAAACAATAACTGTACAGTATTGTGTGGTTCTCATTCGTCAGTTGAATGACACAAGCTTATCGTGAAATCTCTCTTCACATTTTGAGAAAAGTTGACTATATTTCTAAGAGGAGTTTGTAACATTACGAGACTTTAGTTTTTCAAACTTATTCAGAAATACTCGGTTAGTGGAAAATACTAAAGTTACATTTAGAGTAGAACAGTGTTCTATTGACTGAAGAAACTGTAATACATTAATTAAATGAATAATATGATGAACAAAATATTTTTCATTTGAAAGGATGATTTATTCAATTTTAAAGATAATTCACATTACGAATTGACTCTAGCTATAGAATCATTGAAAACTAGAGAACTTTGTGCAACCGTTGCACCCTACTTTGTGGCTTCTCAGTACAGCAAACACAAAACCAGACCTCTTTCCAAATGCACAACTTTCAGATCAAAGAAATGATTCACATTTCTAACTATCGTAAATTAGGGGGACAGCACAACTCTTATCCGCTATCGTTTATATGATCTGGCTCGTAGTTGACAGGATTAAAATTCATCAGGACAATAAATATCTTTCATCTCTTTTAGTTGCTAACTAACGAAATTAAAGTACATGTTTATAAAATAGTTGACCTAGATTTCAATATTGATTTATGAACTTGTAGTGTTTATAGTATAAAATGTCTGGTACTATTGAAAACTTCATTTATTATGAGACCCAGTCAGATTCCCAATTAACATAAACATTGTCATAAAAATAGCCTCAATTACTACTACGTTTTCCAGAATAAGTAACTATCAGTCAAAGTTGTGAAATAACTACAACAAATTTCACTTTAAATCAGTGACTTGAATACTTTATACCATCTCTAAGATCTAAAACCCCTTATTTCTATCTAATGTGCTAAATACAGGACTCATATACCTGATGAGCAGTACTATAATTAAACTTTACCGAAACTAAACAGTTCAAGTAGCCCTCGATTAAAGAAAGTTTCGAGTGTTTCGAGGAAACGTACAGTTATTGGGAAGTTCGCACGGAATCAGCATTCAATACATTTTTAAGATTATTATTTTAGATTTTTTTTAACTGCGTGCGTGCACTGGAATTCAAAGCTATAAACTCTCTTCCTAAATGACTAATCCCCAAGAACACCTACGAACATCAAAGTGTTTTTTCTTCAGTTCCACTGTCAATTGGATAGGCGAAGGAAGTTCCTTGTTTTGCCCCTCCGATTGTTGTGATCTGGTTCAGAAGTCTTTGGGGAAAACTATTTCCCGTTTGCTGTTACTGTTGTATTCAGTATTGAGGTGCCTCTGAAAAACATTTAACTTGACGCACATTATAAAATCAATATGATGGATTATATTCTCTTGATCTGACATTGAACTACGAACTGCAAAGTAACTAATTGAATGGAACAATTTATATCAGCCAACCTACGAGAAAACAGGTACCGTTTATAGTTTTCAAAGATTTTCGGAGTAACTTTAAGAGATAAATGGTTTAAATCTCATACCTTCGGACAGGTTTGATACTAAGAATACTAACTAATGATGATTACTTCTTTAATAAATTTTGGATAAGATAATCGGATTGTTTGTATTCGGCTTCCTTATTCCTCAGCATGTTCAGTAGATGTTTTTATGCCAGGTAGTTTGAGACAATCGTCAGCAACCTATGAATCTCGGATACGTAATAGTCAGTACCCGTCAGTGAAGCGTATTTGTAGCTTCTAGTTAACTAGTGCCTCCACAACACAACTTTTCTGTTCAGTATAAACAATCCCCGATCTAGGCAGTTAGATAAATTTTTATCCGACTTATTTGTCTACTTGTGAGTAGCCTAATTGTTGCCAAATAAGTTTAAATTATAAACAACTTTTATTATTTAGTGTAGAAGCGAACGTCTACATAGGAGAGTAGCCTTAATCTTATTCTATAGATGGATGAGATATTAGCTTAAATTAACAAGTCCAGAATTTTCTCAGCTATATTGGCAAACAGTAAGTCACGTTTCGAAATGTCAAACTTAGAGGAAATCATAAAATCGAGTCCTACATAACACATGTCCTTCCATTTTCAACACTTTCCTTTATTTCCTAACTATACCCCACCATAGTTGGTTTACAGAGATTTTGCACGTAATTTTCCCTTTTAGTGGATGAGGTTTTGTCATATTAGACTTTCTTAATGAAAATGTTTCACATATTGTTATGAACAACTTGAATGTCATTTCAGTTGTATTCAGTGGCTATATAATATTATGACTACAAAAAACATCCTACTTTTGATCTCATCTAAGATAATGTATGAACATTGCCGAAGAGTCCTAGAGTGAAATTAAACAGAAACCTAGTTCTCTCTCGTTTCCACTGGCTTCACAGTTCTTATCAGTTATTGATGACTAACGTTTTTGTCTTTCCTGTGATGTTAGACTGGTGTCTTGACCATCCACAGCTGTCAAGAAAAAGTATACTTAGAATTCGGCCAGCGGTCGAACCCAGGATGTATTTTTCATCCTACTTGGGAATTATCAGCCGTATGTAACTAGCGATGTTTAAACATAAGACAGTGAGTGATCCTATACTCAATTTTCCTGTATTGAAAGATGAGTCTTGGCACCATCGTCTTAGCTTCTGCTCCCATACAGGCGATAACACATTAAAACTGACCAAAGGCATGCGACCAAGCATTTAGTATAGCACAGAGCACTTAAGAATGCCTCTACACGTTTCTTAGAACTCCCACCTTCTTATATAAATCTGTTGCCGTCTTGTTATTTGTCAACTATAGATTAGAACAATGTATAAACGAGCAATATTGTTTTCAATCACTCGAATATACAGTACTATTTATATGCACATATGAAGTTATTAAACTGATTAAGGCAGTTTATAAGTTACTGATAACATTGGAATAGATTACATAAATAAACAGTAAGTAGATACCTCAAATTGATAGTGTGATGGCATGTGTAATAGTAATGATAACAATAATAAAAGCTTAAATCAATGTTTCATAATAAGAAAGTAGGCCAACAACTTTAAAAAAATAGGTATTAAAGTAACATTCATTAAAAATTATGAAATTACAAAATTAGAAGTCTTCAGATAATAGGACAATGAAGCGTAAACTTGATGAAAAGGGGTCAAAAAAATCAATGAAAATAATAAATAAATCAGAACTCAGTAGCTAAGTGGATAGCTCGGTGTTTGAAACGAACGGTACTGAGTTTGAGCCCAACAGTGAACATCAACTTCTGAGGTGCAGATACATTCAGCTGACGAGTTCCAAATAAGACGAAACGCGTCCTGGATTCCACTATCCAACTTTGCATAATAAATAAATCGTTTGTTAAGGCTAAATCAGCTGAGGAAGAAATGAATGAGTGAAGAATTTCTTATGAATACGCATTCAGTTTGTACCTTTTACTTACTGTTTATTAATGTAATCTATTCCACTGACCTACAAACTGCCTTAATCGGCTTAATAATTTCATATCTACATCTAGATATTCATATATATTCGACTAAAGCCAGATAAGTATCTAATCGAAAACAATACTGTTGACATTTCGAAGTTGTTTTAATTAACAAAATGATCATAATATGAAATTATGGATACATTATACAGAAGATTTCGTATTGATGCAGTTAAACCCCAATATAATCGTCTTTTGAAATGGTTGATTTAACGGAAAATGTGAATAAATTTAATGTATAATATACAATATTGTACATTATTTGACAGTCACAGAATAACTGTCGTTTGCCACAACATCCTAATGAGCATCATAAACGCAGAGAATTAAGAAAAAATAAAACCAAGAATATACTATTCTCAGGAATTATGCAAACCTTAGATATTTTGCAAGAATCTCTCGTACAAATGATTTTCTAAACAGTAAATATCCGTGTTCAACCGAAATCTCAGTCAATACAATCTTTTAGAAGTGTTTTATGCAAATGAAAAACAAATCAAATTTAATGATTTGGTTAAAGTTGATCTTGATAAAATTTACGAAATAGTTGGTAAATAAATGTTACTCGTAGGCTATAATTCAGTATAAGCATCTTATGGCATACTAATCAGGTACAGAAATCTGACTCATATTAATGAGTAGGTAAATTCTGACAATAACAAGGGTTATTTGAATATATATTATCATAAACAGCCTGGAGTGCCACAAAGTCTATTATAATATGAAACAGTGAACACCACGTATACTTCTGGTTTATTTAACTTCAACACGGTCTTATATGTTTTACCATTCAGCCACGGTGAATGTAATAGGGCTGTTAAGTTTGTCTTACATTGTTCTTACTCGCTGCTCTTACACTCTTTTGCGAATTGTTCTATACTACTTATTTACATTCAGTAAATATTTTTTGATTGAGATCATGAATCAATTGAT